AGATTTTCATCAGATGATGACTCCATTAAGTTCTATACTGGTTTCCCAACTTATAAACACTTAACACTTTTTTATGACTTTGTTAAACCAAATGCTGAAACCATGGTTTACTGCTATGCTTCAGGGGAAAGACCAAGTAGACCTGAAGTAAGATCTATGCAGCTCATTGATGAAATGTTTTTGTTCCTGGTCCGACTCAAACTGGGGCTGTTTGAGCAAGATCTAGCCCATCGTTTCCAGATTCACCCCAACTTATCAAGCAGGAAAGTGACTACATGGGCAAACTACCTGTACTTTACCCTAGGAGGTCAGTGTATCTGGCCATCAAAGCATGATATTCAGAATAATATGCCAGAGGCATTTCATCGTCTTTATCCAACTACAAGAGTGATACTAGACTGTACTGAAATTTTTGTACAAACACCTACATCATTGTTACTCCAGTCACAGCTTTATTCCAGTTATAAGAGCAACACAACACTGAAGGGATTAATCGGAATTACCCCACATGGTGCAGTTTCATTTATTTCCTCATTATACACAGGATCAATTTCAGACAAGGAAATAACTAGATGTAGTGGAATTCTAGATTTACTAGAGCATGGTGATTCCGTAATGGCCGACAAAGGTTTTAATATAGATGACTTACTTAAGGAAAAGGGGGTTGGGCTTAACATTCCCCCTTTCCTTCAGAGTCAGGCACAATTTTCTGCTCAAGATGTTCATGAAACAAAAACAATTGCAAAGTTGAGAATCCATGTTGAAAGAGCCATTCGAAGAATTAAAGAATTTCATTTTTTTGATTCAGAAGTTCCTCTGTCAAGCCTTGGCTCTGTCAATCAGCTGTACACTGTAGCCTGCCTACTAACCAATTTTCAAGGACCTTTAATTTTAAATAGTACTGGAAAAACTTAATAAATAATATTGATATTATCGTAAGTAACATCTCTTGGGAATGGAACGTTTTGTCACTCTGGAACTACCGGTAATAAAAAATATGCCACAATTTGCAACCTTGTACTCCTTAAGTACTATACTAACTTAAAAAATAGTTGAAAAAGAAAGCATCAACCTTGTCCTTTGCATCTTGAAAGAACTCTTTGTCAAAAAGAATTCTCTCACACATAAACAAACTGTCACTAACATAACAAAAAAAATCCAACCAGTCCAACCCAGTAAGCCCAAGCTGGCACTGGACTTGGTAGAAATACACATCATTTCTCTTTAATCTGAACTCATTAACCAAGGGATCATATGTCAAGTACCTAACATTGTTTAGATCAGTTTCCCCCTCCTTAACAACTTTAATTTCTAGTAACCCAAATGGGTTGCTTCCATCAAGGGCAGCTCGAAAATCATACACCTTTCTGTCAGGGCTGCATCCAAGCCAAGGACAATTGGGGTTGATAATAAGCCCAGAAGGAAATAAATTCACACACCCACCCTTTGCAGAATTTGCATACACCATGGCAGCTCTTGGTTCGAGCGCAATTCCTCTTCTCATGGCAGCAGTAGTTACTTGCCTTGTTGGGTTAAGCTGCAGTACTAAATTCTCGAAATTACTCACTCTTCTTGCAATAAGACCAAATTTGCTGGCAGTTATTCTTTTTTTCCGCAACAGGTGCCATAAACTGCTGTTGCTCTGTGTCACTGTCTTTTCTTGAAGTTCAACAGCTGTCTTGAGGGTAATCTGCAGGGAGTCCAAGGTTGCCTGTTTCTTACTGTCCAAGCAAATTGCAAAGTTGTTTTCGAATCGATTGCCGGCATCATTCAATGGTAAAATTGGGAATGTAGTACAGGTGAAATCATTTATCACATATTCCTCTGAAAGTTTCTGTTGGTAGGATAACACAGACCCTTTTGGGACATTCCCAAATTTGCAAGGGACAAGAGGAAGGTGATTGGCTTGATCTTTCCTTGGAACCAGAGATACTATCAGAGGCTTTGGTTCAATTCCACTGAAGTATTCTTTGGTGAGGGTGTCATACTGAGATGAGGGAGAGTACAGTGTACTTTTGATAAATTTGTTGTAATCTGCACCTATTTTGGGTTTCTTTACCAACAGTTCCTGGATCTCCT